CTCTCTCTCTCTCTCTCTCTCTCTCTCTCTCTCTCTCTCTCTCTCTCTCTCTCTCTCTTCATTACTGTGTCTGCCCCCAAAGCCCATTGGCTTGCACAGATATTTGAAGTTAAACATACAAAACAAAAGACTCAGAGCTAAGATCCACATATGAAACAAGAATTAAGTGGTTTTGTTTTTTCTGAGCTTGGGTATCCTCACTCCATACAATTTTTGCAATTCTACACATTTACTTGTAAATTTCATTTTTAGAGCTGCATAACATTCCATGTGTATATGTACCATATTTTTTGTTATTAATTTATCAGTCAATGAACATTTAGTTGACTCCACTTCCTAGCTATTGCTAGAAGAGAGCAGCAATTAACATGAGTGTGCAAATACTCTGTAGAGGGATATAAAATCACTTGAGTATAGTCCCAGGAGTGATATCACTGGGTCATACAGTAGTTCTTTTTTTAGTTTTTGAGGAACATCCAGACTGATTTCCAAAGTGGCTTCACTAGCTCTCACTCGCACTAACTATTCAGGGGTTCCCCTCTCCAGTCATGCCAGCTTCTGTTGCCATTTGTATTCCTGATTATGGCTAGTCTCACTGGGGTGATTTGGACTCTGAGTGGTTTTAATATGCATTTCTCCAATTGCCAAAGATGTTGAACACTTGTTAAAATGTTTACCAGTCATTTGTATTTTTTGTTTGAGAACATTCTGTGTGTTTCCACAGCCCATGTTTGGTTGGTTTCATGCTTTCATGTTTAGCTTTTGCATATTATAGTATATTCTAGCTATATTAGAATTTATAGCTGTCAAAGATTTTCTCCCATTCTGTGGGCCACCTGTCAGTCAATTGGTAGTTTCATTTGCTGTAATGGAAGCTTTTTAATTTGGTAACATCACTTTTCAGTTGTTGACCTTGCTTCCTGTGCTGTGGGAGTTCTGTTCAGAACGTCCTTATTTGTATTTAATAGTTGAAGTCTATTCTGTCTATTCTCCTTTATCCTGCAGGAGTTCCTGAGCATTGAGTTCTACATGGAAGTACCTAGCCCATTTGGAGTTCAGTTTTATGCACACTGAGAGATAAAGGACCAGTTTCATTCTTCCATGTGTTAAAATCTAGGCTTGCCTGCACATTTTCAATGGCACTGCATTTTCTCCCATTTATGTGTTTGGAGACTTTGCTTGTGTGTTTTTCTGGCTGTTGTGCTAGAGAAGTCAGGGTTTCAGTGAGCACCAGGAAACCTTACAGAGCAACCTGGCTCTGACAGCCTTCCTAAACCTAGTTCAGATTCTAATACTGCTCCCCACTGTAGGGAGGTTTCATGTGAAGAAATGTGGGACCTGCTTCATGCCTGTCTTCCTTCACCCATCTAATGAGAGAAAAGCATATGCCCTTGGTCACTAATGGCTTATTTCTGGTGACAGCTGCTTTTGCCCAAAGTAGGTAGAGCCCAGGGTGTATTTTACATCTGATTTGGAGGGGCAGGGATTTGGTTAAACAGCATTCTGTGTGCCAAAGAGTAAACTGACAGAAGTGATGTTTTTCCATCTCCTCCCTGTTAAAAGTAGCATCGTATTCCCCCTCCTCAGCTACTTCTCAGTTACTTCCTGACACTCTATTTTAAAATACAGGGACTCTAAAGTAGTGTTAATTCCAAAAGTGCCATTCTGACTTCTGAAATTGTCTCTTTGCTCTCTTAAATTATACAACTTACAAGAAGGAAATCTGTGCTAAGAGACACACTGGAGTTTGTGGAGGCGGGGACAGGGTAGTAGAGAAAAGCTTCCTTCCTTCCAAGTTAAGAAGTTGGCCACCACACTTCCTGGGAGCCCACATGAGACAACATTCTCACCTTCATCTCCAGCCTCTGGGACTCTACTGGTGAGAAAGGAGATTTGCCAAAACCCAGACACCTCCTCAGACTGCTCTGTGACTTTTCCTGCCTGGTGGAAATCTACATCCCTGTCGGCAGTTGCAACCTTGGAAGAAAGATTCACGGAGGCGGCCATCTGTCAGGGAAATGGATGCCCCGTGTTTACCCTAAAACTGGCTCTTGGCCGACTTAGACTTACAATGAGATGATTCCCAGTACAGAATGCTCTGCAGTTTGCTCCTGTGGGCTGCACTCAAAATCCATGTCACTGACTTAAAACTAAGCAGGATTCAAATCTGGAAGTCTCTCCTGCTTCTGCATTTATTATGGTCAGGATGGAACAACAGTATTATTAGCCTTTCAGGGCCCCAGTACAGTCCTTTGTAAAATGAACTTCAGAATACTGATCTGTATTAGGGCTCAATGACATGCAGCAGATGAAATGACCAACACCTTACCTAGCTTGGCACTTGTTACATGCTGTTTGCTTCCAGACATTTTGTCTGTGCTGATGCTGGCAAGGGCCACCATTAAAGTCATCTAAGGCCTAGAAGTGTAGGAAGCAGCTAGGAAATACAGTCTTCCCTGGCTGCCTCTCTACACAGTCATATCTGTGATTTCACCTGGGCCATAGGGACACATACCGCCAGCCTTGGCAATGAGAACAATTCATCATGCAACACCAGCTCTTTTGCTTCTGACTAACAGCACAAGCTGTTTGAGAACTCTTCATACAGGCAGAGGTAGTTCTCAGGAGACTGGATCACTTAGCAGAACTATTGGGCTACTGGACCATTGCATTTATCTTAAGAAAATCCTTGAACATGTACTGATTTGGATGGGGGCCAGAAACCTGTCAGCTGTCAGAATGATTTCCTGTCAAGCAGATTATACCCTTAAATGCTGGGTATTCTATATTGAAGATAGACAATTTGGTATAGTGTGTGTGTGTGTGTGTGTGTGTGTGTGTGTGTGTGTGTGTGTGTGTATGTTTACAATGGCCAGGTCTCTTCATCATCTTATTCATAGTCTTCTTTTTGTACTGTGAATCTTCTGTTGAGTGAGGACATACACAAAATTCTGCCTTCTGTATGGCTAGCTCTCGTTTGAACATTCATATTCTAAATAGTTAAATTACTTAATTTCACAAATTATAATTATTCACTGAGTGCAAATGCTAGGCAGTGGTTTGAATATCACATATGGAGTTCAACAGAACTTTAATTGGGAGACTATAGCTCACAGTTTATTTCATATGGGATGCTCACATCCCAGGTCATGATATACATGGGCATCAAAGCAGGATATCAGGCAGCACGTTGAGTAACCAGTGGTGACAGGCAGGTATAGCGCTTGGATAATGAATGTGGTTATTGCTTTCAAGATATTGCTATTTGAAGACTTGAAACTTTCACAGCTGGATACAGTAGAAATATCTTTTGTGGAAAATAAGTGTTCCTTCATTTTCTTAAGGAAATACATAACCAGCAGATGTAAGCTTTTCAAATTAAATGTCTCAGTTGGTATCAGACAGCCAGCACCTGGGGTAGGCCAAACATCCTTGCATGTTGGCTCCAAATAGCATAGATACATTTAGAATCTTCACTTGCCAATTTGAGGATTGCCTCCTAGGTTTGTAAAACTAGTTGTTGATGTTCTAGCCGGGCAGTGGTGGCACACGCCTCTAATCCCAGCACTCGGGAGGCAGAGGCAGGCGGATCTCTGTGAGTTCGAGGCCAGCCTGGTCTACAAAATGAGTTCCAGGAAAGGGGCAAAGCTACACAGAGAAACCCTGTCTTGAAAAACCAACCAACCAACCAACCAACCAACCAAACAAACAAACAAACAAAAAACTAGTTGTTGATGTTCTAATCTAATCCAGGAACCACCAGTGCATGCTAGTGTAATTGGGCCATTGTGGACCACTCATAATTTCTTTGCACATTGGCTGCCTTGATCAGCTCCCTTCTCTCCTACTTGTTTACTGAGCCACTTACATGTTTAACTATTCTGTCCCTGACATTGATATTAGTAAGTTAACCAGCATATTTATTTATGAGGTTAGCTCTGTGGGTTTGTATGTGTCTATGTAATTATATGTTAATGGACTTAGGTGTCTGTCCACCACCAGATGAATGGATAGTGAAAGTATGGTATGTATATAAAATGTAATTTTACTTAACTGTAGAGAAAAGTGAAATTGTAAGATGTACAGTTAAATGGATGAATTAAGCAAGGTTGCCCAAACATGGAAAGATAAAAACCACATTCACTCTCTGTCATACACAACTCTAACTTGAAATGCATACACCTATATATACTGATTGTGTAAATGGGAACAAGCCTAAAGAACTACAAAGGAGAACAAGATGGGGTTAGGAAGGGTGTTGAGATGTGGAGGTTATGCAATAGGACATCCAGGACATGAACATGCATGGGGGGTGGGAGTTACAGTGTCATGCAGAAGACAGTTCAGAGGGGATTTGAGGAGCAGGAACATTTACTAAAATGCTTTTCTTTAAATGCCACAATGAGGGGCTGGAGAGACTGCCCAGTGGTTAAGAGCACTTGTTGCTCTTGCAGAGGACCCTGAGCTTGGTTCCCAGCGCAAACATGGTAGCCCACAACCTTCAATTCCAGATCTACATCTTTTTCTGGCCTCCACCAGCACTAAGCACACATGTGGTACACAGACATACATGCAGACAAAGTATACTTACTTACTTACATCAAAAAAATCTTTCCAAATCCCATAATGATAGCTAATATTTTTATGCTAATTTGAAAAATAAAATTAAGAAGTGGAAATTGCAGCACAGACACCAGTAGCTGCTATAATTTTGTCTTTCACATCCTTATTCCCACAGCTCCTACAATTTACCACATCAGGCAGGGTTGTAACTCCCTTCTGGGAGATTGTGGAATGAGGGCTTTTCTTCCCTCTGTTTCCCCTTTCTTTCCTTCTTAGCAAAGTACACACTGAGAATAACATTTAGGAACAAAGAACCATCCACATTTTTATTTCTGTAATGTTTTTAGGCCTGGGGGAATTCTGAACATCACAGATATATTAATGCTGGCATTACAACAGAACTGAGAGGTAATTTAGCCCTTCATTACCTTTACCATGACCCAAAGTTTTGCAGACACCAGATGTGGAAGACCTGGTCCTGGAGCCATTGTTCTGGTTCAGCTTTCCCAAGTGGAAGGCTGATCTCTCCACCTCATCCTGGTGCTTGCTGCTTAGGTGATGCAGGGCACACACATCTAGGTTGTTTTTACCTATGTGAGGACATAAAAGGATATTTGAATCCATAACCTTCCTAAGTGTTTCCAGTAATTTCGAGATTTCCACTATTAGCCAGGATTAAAAGATAAAGACCACTATCTGAAAACTTATAGTGAGTACCTAATGGACTAGTCATTTGATTGATTTTTACAATCAACATTCTATCTTTAGAGTCATGGTGCATATCTGTGTTGTTACAAGAAATCTGGGTAGGCATATGTGATTTGTCTAACGTTATCTGCTACTAACTGGTAGAATGTGATGAATAATCACAGTCTTTCTTTCATGGGTTATCTATTAAGCCAGAAGTAAACTATTATGTAAGTGTGTTTTCTGGAACTTTCTTCCATACCTGCTTCTTGGACCATGAAATGATATAATTTATTCTTTTAATTTTGTTAAACTGTGACTATCAATCCTTGGATTGAGAAACGACACTGATGTTCACTTGGTGTCAAATTCAGTATGTGGTTCACCGAAGATGCTCAATACATGTTGTCTTAGCCACAGCAACTCTTATAAAAGAAGCATTTCATTGGGGCTTGTTTATTACCATGGTGGGAAGCATGGCAGTGGCAGGCAGACATGGTGCTGGGGAAGAGCTGAGAGTTCCACATTCGGATCCACAGGCAGCAGGAAGAAAGTGAGCCGCTAGGCTTGGTTTGGGCCTCTGAAGCCTCAAACCCCACTCCTAGTGACATACTTCCTCCAACGAGGCCACACCTACACCAACAAGGCTACACACCTCCTAATCCTTCTGATTACTTCCTGGTGACTGAGCATTCAAATATATGGGGGGAGGGCATTCTTATTCATACCACCACACATGCAGATATTGTGTCTTCAAGCTCCGGATGGATTTGCTGTGCTTGCTTCTCCTCTTCATTAAGTTTTTTTTTTTCTTTTATAGTTTTTTCTTAAATATTTCCCTCTTCCTAACCTACTTAATTATATGAAGTTATGAAGTTTTCATCCAGTTCAATGAACATCATGGATATTAAAACAACTATAAGTTTAAAAGACCTCGAAATGTGTTCTTTTCTATATTTCTCAGAAAAATCATCATAAAATAAAATATTTGAATAATAAAAAATTATGTTGGTAAAATATTTGTTTAATAAACTGTATAAAACACTTTTAGAATTAAATTCTGTTGGAACCAGGACAGTTTAGTGTAGCTAGTTATGTGTCCTACACATTCACAAGGTCTCTTCTTTGCCAGATTAACAATATAGAGAGAACAGTTGTGGTTATGACATTCGAATTAAATTTTGTGACCCCAGGGAAAGGAGATGGAGAATACCTCAATCTATGATGTAGGAAATGTTATGTCAATGACTGCACCAGTATTTTGCAATAACAGTAAAATGCTGTCAAACAGAGAGACCGTGAGTCAGGAAATGTTTCCTAGAGAAGTCAGCGGGAAAGGGATTCTGGAAACCCAGCAGTGGCCGGTAGCTCCATAGAGAAGGGGGAGGCAAGAAGGAGCAAGCCGCTCATGACTTTGGAGCATCTCTCTTCTGAAATTTGCAAGGTTAGCTTAGACTTACTAAAGACTCAACGAGGTCTTTTTCTTTTTTTCCAGCTAGCTTCTTTGAAGTCATGCACACCTATGTACCCCTACTTCTGCTTTCATTGGGGAAGGACACATGAGTTCACATCATAAATCTTCAAGTTTATATCCCAGTCTCATGCCTCTCTCCCCAACTGAAATGGTGGTGGATTCTGAGTTTGTAATGTCTTTGTGTTCATTCATTTGTTTGTTTTTACATTTTTAATTAAAGAAAGTTCTGCTAACACAGAGCTTGAATCAGTTAACAATGTTTTGCCCAGTAACTATTTATGACTCCACTTTAAAAAAGACTAGCTGTGTAATAAACATGTCAGCTATTGAAAACAGATGATTTATAATCATCAAAAATGATTACTTTTTTTAAGTGGTTAGATGCATTTCCTGAAGCTTGAATAATGCCATATTTTCTACAAAAATGCCCTCTCCATAAATAAGTTACATGGGACCTTCAGCCTGACTTATCCCAGACGGGATGTTACAAATCACTGGATTCCAGATTTCTGTTCTTTTGCAACACTTCGCAGAATGGAACTTTAGCAGGATTGAGATTTCTAATCTTTAAAACAAAGCAAAAAAAAAGCAAGGAGCATTGGAAATAACTCTATCTGGTTGAATTCCACAACAAGTATAATTAGAGCCTGTACCTCCATATTAATGTGGAGCCTGGGGTTAGTAATGGATAAGGAACCAGGAAGAGGACAGAAAACATAATAATAATTGATCCTCTTGGCCACAGAATTGAGCATGCCCAGTGAAATATTGTGTGTGTTTTATCTAATACCTACCGGAGTCTTTGTCCACACTCTACCAACAGAAACATGCAGAACCTTAGATATATAATCTCCTCAATTTTGTACTCCTCTGAATGTTCTCTTAAATATCTTACTGTATATTTCACTCTGGTCTAAATCTCCCATTTGGGCAGGTTTTATAAACAGCCAGCTGAGATTTCCTAATGAACCACAGGATCTTGTAGGATGTAATCAATTGAAAATTAGCCTTTATATAATACAAATGCACAGTAGCAGTGGCAAGCTGATGTCTGCTTTCATCCCAAGTCTATGATATTGGCTGCTTAGAACACTGTACTTTCCTGTATTAAATCTCAGATAGGATGAGTGAGTCTTGGACAAGCCAGACCCAGACTTACACATTTTCATTGAGTGCAGACTAGGAAGAAGAGAGCTAAATGATCCCAAGGCCAATAAAGAATACCTCCCCCCCCACCCCTCCCCTGCTGCCGCTACCAGCTACCACTTTACAAAAGCAAAATCAGAAGTGGAAATGTTCTCAAATATTTGCAGAGCCACCATGTATGGAATGACAGAGGCCAAGGAATACATAAGGAAATGACATATGAGTAAGAATCAGTAAAAAAACAAAAACAAAAACAAAAAATAAAATAAACAGTCCTACAAATTGCACATTTTAGTTATCAGTCAGCTGTGTTAGTTTCCATTACTATAGCAAGGTGACTTAGATAAGTCACTGGAAGATGAAAGAATAATTTTGATGCACAGTTTAAAGGTTACAGTTCATGAGGTAATGGCCTCATCATTATGAGCCTCTGATAGTGCAGCACATCATAAAAACAGAATATGGGGGATACAAATTGTTCATCTCATGGCCAGAAAGAGAGAGACTGTGAGGATGCAGGCTCTCACATGTCTTTAGGGTCATGTCCTCAAGGCTCTGAAGCTCTCTAGCTAAATCATATCCTTTAAAGGTTTCACTATTATCTCATATACCACCCTTAGGACTCAGCTTTTAACACATGGGCTTTGGGAGATGATTTAAGATCTATACTAAAACATTTTTTATTCCAACGTTTCAAAAAATAAAATATATCATCTCCCCCTCATACTTCTTCACACATCTTCCATGCATGTCTGCCCTCCTCCCATGTCCATAGCCTCCTTTAACCATTCTGATTACATAAATAAATAAAAGAGCCGGGCGGTGGTGGCGCACGCCTTTAATCCCAGCACTCGGGAGGCAGAGCCAGGCGGATCTCTGTGAGTTCGAGGCCAGCCTGGGCTACCAAGTGAGCTCCAGGAAAGGCGCAAAGCTACGCAGAGAAACCCTGTCTCGAAAAACCAAAAAATAAATAAATAAATAAATAAATAAATAAATAAATAAATAAATAAATAAATAAAAGAATAAACATACACATACAACCTGCTGAGTCCATTCATTGTTGCCTGCCTGTATGTTTGTAGGGCTGACCACTTGCTATTACATGGTCAGGAACTTATCCCTAGAGAAGACTAATTCTCCCTGCCTCAACTGTTCTATTCATGGCATGGGGGATCCATGAGATTTCCCCATCTATGTTGGGATGTCAGCTATTGTTAGAATTGCTAAGATCTTGTTCAGGAAGACATGCTGTCAAGATTTCATGGGTGTAGCTCCCTCATCACAGCCAGACGGCACAATCTCATAGCAGACTTACTAGGTCTCTGACTCTTATAATTTTTCTGAACATCTTCCTTTATGTTCCCTGAGTCTTGGATGCAGGAGTTATATTGTAGATGTATCCATTGGGGCTAGGCACCATAGTCAGGTGCTCCCTGCATTCTGGTTATTTGTGGCCTTCTGTAATGGTCTCCTGCTGAAAAAAAAAAAAAAAAGAAAGAAATGAAAAAAAAAAAAAGGCTTTTTGGGCTGAGGTATGAGACCTATACTTATCTGAGGCTCTAAGGATACATATTTATAATATATGTAGGAATTATTCTGGCTTAGAAAAGTGGCAGTATTAGGTTTTCCTCTAATATCTGTGCCCCCACTAATCCTGGATATTTGGCTATGTTTTCAGTACCAGGCACACGATTTCCCTCTGGTTAACTGGGCCTTGAATCTAATCAGACAGCTGCTGTTTACCACCAAAACACAAGTGCCCCTAGTACACCTTTAGGGATATCTTAACATGCTGGCCCCTGATCCCCAAAGGCTCATGTCCATCTTACAATGTAAAATGTCCTCAATCTGTCTCCAAGCCTATGAAAGTCTGAACTGTTGCAGAATTTCTCAAAAATAAAAGTCCAAAGTTTTTACCTGACACTCAAGGAGTTCCTATAAAAGTAAAAATAAAATGTATATTTTTAAGATCTAATGGTGGGATAGACACAGGACAAATGTTCCTATTAGAAAGAAGGAATTAAAAAATTAATTATGAAGAGCGGCTGCCTAAAGCAAGACTTAAACCCAGCAGAGCGAACATTAAATCCTAATCTCCATGGTTAACATCCAGGACACACTGTGATGAGCTGTGGGCTCCTGATAATTTGGATAGACCCTTTTCTGTGGTTTGGCTGATTACAGGCCACATGTCCACATGAGAGCTGCCTTTACCAGCTGCCTGTAGGTTCCCATGAGTGTAATATGTTTCTGGTATCGTCTACTTACACTTAAAACATTCTGAAGTTTCACCTTGCTTCACCAAATAGGCTTCTTCACATTGACAGATATACTGCAATAATAAGTAAATACTGCCCATGTCTTGGTACCAATTTTTAAAGAAGCCCTCTTTAATATTATCTATGATCAATGACATGCAATTAAAAACAAAGAGTGAGCAAAGAAACTGATAAATATATCATTACAGTTTTAAAAAGTCTATAAAAGTACATTTGCAATTTGTAGGGCTAACAAAAGGGAAACTTTTTCTTTGCATTAACAAAGAGATGTTTGGGTTTGTTGAACACACTCACTGAGAACTGTGGGTTTTTTGCAACCACGTGGAAAAAAAGATGTGGTGTTCATACTGACCATGTGGGGAGACAGAATAGAGGGTAACTTGAGTTAGACATTTGGTGAACTACGCAATGAGTAAAGGGATTGATTGAAACAAATACTCCTGACTTGAATGAGACACCAATGGAAAATTTATTTTTCTGGAGCTCCCCTAAGAAATAAAAATCACAGTGTATTTTTATGTTTAAAAAAAGAACTCAAATAAATAAAATTAGCTTTCAGTATCCCTGAATTGATAGCATTTTGGGGTTCCTATCAAAACCAAAATAAATAGGACTTTTGAGAGGTATGCCCTCAATTCAAGTCTCACTGGATCCTCACATCTAAGCACCAACAAATGTGGATTAATTCAATCCAAAGTTACCAGGCATGCTAGGAAACATTGCCCATTGAGTAAAATCAATATATGTACCAGGAATGGGGAATGTACAGCACAATCAGACCTCAGACACTAACTGTATCAGGTGACAGCACACCAGAGAGAAAATGACTACATTAAAATGTTAAAGTTGAAACAATGAAAACAGAAGGAAAGAGCAAGGCCTTAGAAAATCTATCAGGTACAGGTGAAACAAGTAAACAATACGTCCATCAGTAAAAACTGTGGCTATTAAAATTAAGGATAAAGTTAATGCACAAGTAAAAGAAAATTAATTGAATGATTAACCTAAGAAGTTCTGCTGTTGGAATGCAGAATGATATCATTAATGTAAACAGTTCAATGATAACTTAGAGTGTAAAATATAATCTTATCTTACAACCTAGTGATCCCAGGGTGAGATGCATACCAAGAAGAATTAAATATACAGATGATTGTAATAACCTGGCATGATGAAATGATTATGAATGAAGTGACTTTACTTATAATCAGCTTTGTGAAATAGTATACACTAATGGTATTTATCATACCTGCAATGGAAGATTGCTGAGTAAGAGGAAGTCACAAATGATATATGCAAAATTATGCATGAATATCAAATGACTTAAATGAAATGAAGAATGCAAGATAATATGGCATAATGTTTATATATATATATATATATAAAATATATATGAGAGAATATATACATATGTTCTAGATAGCTTTGACTACCAATTGAGACAATCTAGATTCACTGGAAAAGTGAGTCTCAATGGTGAGGTTGTCCTGATCTGTTTGGCCTATGACCATACCAGTAGCTGTCTTGACTATTCATTGATGTATAAGGGCCTAGCCCACTGTGGGTGAAACCATGTTCTGTGCAGGTGGTCCTGGGTTGAATAAGGCATTTAGCTAATCATGAGCCTGCAAGTGAGTTAATATGCAACATTCCTTCACAGTTTCTTCTTCAAGTTCCTACTTGAGTTCCTGCCCTACCTCTTCTCTTATTAATAGATTGTCTCCTGGAATTACAAGGCAAATAAACCCTTCATCCATTTAAGTTGCTCTTAGTCAGAGCCCTTTGTCACATCAAGAGAAAGGAAACCAGAACAGACAACATCCTGGGAGGGAAATATCATTAGTGATGAGACAGGGTTGACTGGAGAGGAAACTAAGGCCATGTGGGAAGGCAGTGGTGGAAGCTGTAGACATATTGATCATTGATTGTGCGGATTGTTTTATAACTACATTTGTCAGCAATCATAATACTTTTGGGGAAAGGGTGAATTACATATTTGGAAATTAAGAGTCAAAAATAAAATTTGTAGTATAAAATAAAACAATCAAAGCAATTTTTATAGATTATGTGGCTTTATACCAATCCACCTGGTGAGACTTCATCAAGAAATTTAGCTAAGAGATTGATCATCCATTAATGTACCTAACAATTAAGTCACTATGGCTACTAGCTGACTTTTCTCCAAAAATGATTAATATAAAAATGTAATGATACCATAAACAATTTTAATCAGACAGACATTGATAAAACTATATCCATTAAACTGTAGCAGGAAACAGATGCTCCTTTAGTCTCAGTTAACTGAGTGGCACTGTTGGCAGAGTTAAAGGGCAGTAAGCAGAGGAGATGAGTGTTCTAGAATCTGGGTACAGTAGATAACCATTACCACACCTGAGGGTTAAGACATGTCCAGGGGCTCATGGTAAGACTTGGTAAACTAATTGACTTGAAAGCCCAAACACTCATGTTGTATCCCCATAACCCCATATCCCCACCTATGTTATATCTCCATAACTCATATAAAACTGCCAACTGTGGTGGCACTTGCTGATAATCTCAACAGTGGGGAGCGCAGAAACAATTGCATCATTGGAACTCCCAAACCATCCAGTCTTGCCTAATTAGTGTGCTTCCACCAATAAGAAACCATTTCTCAAAAGAAGTTGGCAGTGTTTCTCAGGATGACACCCAAGGTTGTCCTCTTCCTTCCTCTCTCTCTCTCTCTCTCTCTCTCTCTCTCTCTCTCTCTCTCTCTCTCTCTCTCTGAATATATTGAAATATGTGGTTATACTGGTAGATATAGAAAAGAGCATTTACCAGAGCAGTAGCTTTCAGGAGAAAAATGTAACCATTGCCTGTTGGTGGCTTCACAACATGACAGACTAGAGTTCAATGCTTGACTCTCTCCCTCTTCTTGATGTAATACAAAGATGCCAGGTTCCGTGGACATAGACTGTAACAAAAGGAGAAATCAAAGTAAGGGAAGTTAAAGGCTATGCAACCTAGATAGACACACATGGACTATTCAATCACATAAGGCATTCATTATGCTTCATTCTTTATAAACAAGTGATGGGAACTAATAAACCTCTTATCAACCAGATCTCAGAACAATTCTCAAAAATCATTAAAGAATTAATATCATACAGAACTCATTTTTATTGTGATACAAGTTAGTTACACAGCAAAGGTAAAGGATGAGTCTAAACCACACATAGAATTTAAAATTAAAATATTTTAAGTAATACATGGTTAAAGAAGACAGCCTGATGGTGACTTTGTAATGTTTAAAGTAAATTGTTTGCATAGCTTTAAAAAATGTCCTTTACAGGCATGGGGAGATGGCCCAGAGTTAAAGAGCACTTGTTGGTCTTACAGAGGACTTGGGTTTGGTGCCCACTACCTATAACCATCCAATTCCTGAAGATCCAATGCCTTTTTCTGACCTCCTCAGGTACTGAGCACACGTGTGATGTACAGATGCACATGTAAGAAAACAATTTAATGCACATTTTTTAAATCTAAAAATAAAATTTGGCCTTTGATAACTTCATACACTATATATTCTAGTTACTGACATCCAACAGCCCACCCTCCTGTGTCTTCCTTCCAACTCTATTTTTCCACCTCTCCTCCCTACAACTTCTTTTCCCTCTTTGTGTCTTTGTTTTATCTTGTGACTCACTGAGTTTAACCAGGACCATCTGTATGACCATGGGTTTGAAGCTATCTATTGGGGCTTGCCACACTCATTGATGGACACATAACTAGAGATAATGGCTGTCCTTCTTCTCAAGTCCATCGATGTCTAAGAGTTTTACATGGAGGAATAGAACCCAGAACCCATGAGCCCTTCTCCAGTAAATACTTAGCTGTTGATAGGCCCAGTCTTCTTACAAGCCACTGTAATAAGCCACGGCTACCATGAAATTATGATTATATTGTTGTCTTACTTAGAAGACAGCACTTCATGACCTTTCCCTCTGTCTTCTGCCTCTTTCATTCTAGAAACCTCCTTTGTGCTACTTCTTGAGCTTTGGAGGAAGTGGTAGAAATGGCTGATTAAGGGTTGAATACCTGACCATCACATGTTCTCAGTATCTTGAACAGCCAACCATCTGCACATTAACAAGAGAAACTTCTATGACTAATGCTCAAAGTGGCATTTGTCTGTGGGTATAAACCTTTATATTTAAAAATCACCTTGATGCCATGTCCTTAGCTAAACAATAGTGGTAAGTTCGCCTTAGGGCCTAAGGGCACATAAGTGTAGATTTGACTGGGTTTATATTACTATGTTCTCCTTTGTGGACCAGGCCTCATAGTAAACTTAAGAGTGGTTAGTTACAACTACAACTGTTGTGACACTATATATGAGTGTTCACATCTTGCCTGGAAGGTTGATATTGTAGTTCATAGGGTGCCAGTTCAGCAGCCTTCATAGTGACAACCTAATTCCAGCCTTATTTCTTTATCATGAAACCAAGGTGTATGGTTGTGATATATCCCAAGCAAAATCTTCATAACTTTGTGTATATTACATATATCACTTGCATTACTGTATGAGATGGCTGTTATAATCCTTTACACTTCATAGATTAGGTGTTTGAGGGATAAAGAATTTGAAAAAAATCTCCACAGTCATATCAAGTAATGACTGTAGGATTCAGCAGTTAGCAAATTTGAACCAACTCTGTGACACCTAGAAAAATATGGCCAAGCTTGTAAATTGATCAAAAAAGAAGAGCACACTTAATTTTTATGTGTGATTAGCATTAAAGAACAGAATAATTTAATTGTAGTTCTTTATATATTTTTATCTTTGGGCTTTAATGTATCATTTTTATAATGGTTGGATCTGTTTTCTTTTCTCCAGCAAACTTGATGCTATAGAACATTTGTATTGAATTATGCATATTTGTGTTGCTGAAGATTCATTATTACTGTGTCTTTATGTCATTTATTGTTGAAATATATGTGTGCTGTCAATTGATCCTATTGAAAGCCTCTGGGGGGAAAAGGCTGAATATATTTCCAAAGGGAAATGAAATGAGGTGAGAATTTTCAGCCTTGAGTACAGATTGGCCTTGGAAATGACTTACTGAATGGACTCTTCTGTCCCAAATCCAAAAAGAAGCCTCATGAGCAGTTGTTAAATGTAGAATGGAAAAGTGAAGGATCATTCTGATGGGTAATTTCTTCCCCAAAATGAGGTAGTACACATCAGCAGACAATAGTTTTAGTGTGGGAGACAATGATTTAAGAGAACATAAACCAGGAGAACACTGAGGGTAGTGAAGTTTATTTCTGTATCTAACAGCAGACCCTGCAGAAAAATTTTCCTGACCTGTCTTCTAGCTTCCTGAAACAAACACATGTGCTGAGGGAGAGCTAGAAATCCTTATCAAATTGGAAAGGGAAATGTGTACATGTGGCCAGAATGTTCCTTTTTCTCTGTATGGAGCTTGCAGACTGAAGGTATCCCGACAATGAACAAAATACTGATATAATTAATGAAGGGAGAAAAAAGGGGAGAAGTAGAGAGACAAAGACAGAAAAGTTCAGTAGTTAGAATTTCTTAATAGCCCGAAAGTGAGTGTGTCAGATAGGTCTTGAGACAGTAGAATTGGTTAAGTATTGCATTAAAAAAAAACCTGTGTGTTGCATTTTAAAAGTATTGTATAAAATTGTGTAAAAATTACAGCAGAGGGAATAGTTACATCTTTGAACCATTAAGACTAAAAATTAGAAGGGAGAGAATAAATTTTCTCACAAGTTTATAAGGCTAGAAGTAAAATATTAAAAGCAAAAACATTTCACATTTCTCCTATGCAGATACAACTTCTGGTATCTGGACTCATTCACTCGAGTTAAGAGATTGAATGTTTTATTTGTGGGAAACTAATCAATAGCAGAGACTAGAAATAATAAATCTGCCTTTGGGGGTTGCCCAATTAAATGGCTCATATAGATCATTCTGTAGTGAAAACAAATGTTGCAAAAACTTCCAAATGGCTTTCTGTCGCATATTGACAGTTTAGATTTGCCAAATGGGTACACTTATACCATGTATGTACCCTGAAACCAAAGAGAACTCAAATGAAAATCAGAAAAAAATTGAAGTAGGAGAAAAATTTATGAAGAGAGTAGGGAAGAGACAAACTAAATTATTTCAAGGCCATTAAAGAACTCATGTGAATATAATTATCAGAGATATTAGAATATACATTCCTTCTATAAAACAGAGCTAAATCACAAGCCAGGGTATTCTGACAGTAACACAAAACAGCCCTTAGGTCACCTGAATGTCTTAGAGATTTCTCAACATAATATATAAACACCACCAACACTATATGAAGAAATGCTATCACCAATCATTTGAAGCATGTAAATAAGAAGTAACATCCAACTCCACTGCAAATGCCGGCAACTCAGTAGATGAAAAGATCCAAAGATAATTGATGTGGAAACAAATGAACAAATGGTGCTCCCTAAAATCCTTAACATTGTTGAAAGAAATAGGAATCAATATAGCCATTAAAGGAAATAGTATAGAGTTAAAAAAAAAAAACTAGATGGCAAGCTACCACGAGATCCATCAATCCCTTTGCTGGGCATGAATTCAAGGGAAGAGAGATCAGTATGTTGGAGAGACATCTTCATTTGCATGTTTAATGAGGCAATGCTCACAGTAGGCGAGATGCACAGTCAGCATAGGCATCCATATGCAGATAAGTGGGTGAAGAAAATGCAGTGAGTACCCACAGTGGTAAGTTATGTAGAAGAGAGAAATGCACAAGACATTATATTAAATTTTAGAAAATGCAAGGCATGGAGATATTACCAACACATGTTCTCACAGGTATAGTGTTAGGAACAGACTTCACAGAAGTGGAGAATATGTTAATGGTTAACAGAAATCTGGCGTGAGTGTTGGAAAGAAAAGATGGAGACGGCTTTGCTAACGACTCCTGGGGTACAGGTGGATAGGAGAAAATTGCTTCGCATAGTCTATAGCACCGGAGGATAACAGATTGAAAACTGCATGACACAGGGCTTTTTGAATGCTATCAACCCTAATAAATTTCCAAGATGACAGATATGCCAGTTACCCTGGTCTGATCATTACAAACCATATGCACAAATTGGAATTATATTGCACTCCTTAAACACATGCAGCTATTACGTGTGGAATATTTTTAATCAGAAAGTAAACATCAAACAAAGCTTAGCTATAGATCACCACTGTCGCAGAGGGTCCCTGCCATTTCTCCCCTTCTCCCATCTCATCTGTAGGTTAGCTGGCTGGGTATAGCTTAGTCTCCATAGCACATTAATTCTTATTCCTGTGTTTCTGTGTTTGTTTTCCTGTTCTGGTCCACCACATACCCCTGTGCAAACCTTATCTTACACTCCATCAGAAATCACTGCACTAGAAAAAAATGATAAATAACAGGAAAGTAAACTAAAGTTTGAAGATCAGCCCCGAAGCTTATACACTAAATAATAAAGACTTCTGTTGACAGCATTGGAAACAGACGGCGGAAAACTTCGATGATATTTCAAGGGAAGCACTGAAAACCAAAGTTGTCTGATTAACAGGGCCTGTCAGGTATGCAAGCTCATAACATAAACTACCTACACCTACACATACTGCCGTAAAACTTTTAAAAACCAGAGAACAAGAGACTATTAAAATGTCCAGAGAGTGGTAGAGAATGAAACTTATATAGAAATTTGACTGTTATTAAACATTTTCAAAATTAAAAAAACATTGATTCTTCACACAGTTCTATCTCTAATCAAACTATAAGTCAAAGGCAATAAACAAACAAACAAGCAAGCAAGCAAACAAAAAACAACTTCCTAAGCCCCCTCTTTCTAGGAAGCCATAGCAGCAAACCTTTAGAAGAGATGTAACTCAGGAAGTTGGAGCTTTAATGCAGGCGACAG